ATCACCCGGGCTGGCACCGGATAAACCCCATTGACTGCCCAACAAAAGCAGATTGCAGGCCCCGTTGCTGCATCTACATTAACAAAGCCATTCCCACACATCTCTTCTTCAGACTCCCAAACAATTCCACCAATCTGACCGCAGTTTCCCTTACTATACCCCTCAACTCCCCGCTAACCTTTCATCTTCTAGCAGTATACAACCCTCCTTCATCCTTTCCCACCATCCCCGAACTGGCCCTCTGGCTAGACTCATATTCCTCCAGATCCATTCCCACCGTCATCATGATGGACTCCAATCTACACCATCCACTCTGGAACCCATCTGGCTACCGCCACACGCACTCGGTTGCAAAAGATTTGATCAAAGTGTGTGGCAGGAAAGGCTTCCACCTGACCTCCCCCAAAGGGGTCCCAACTTTTCTTGGCTCGCGGGGTTCCCAAACCACCATCGATCTCTGTTGGGTAAATCACAAATGCAGATCCCTAGTGAAGACTTGCTTGGTAGCCCTTGACAACCACGCCTCCGATCATCAACCTATACACCTACAGCTGTCTACCCAAGAGACAATCCACCTCCCAGCCCAGATAAGGGGTATCTCAGTGGACAAAGTAGATTACACCGCTTTTGCCAAAGACCTATCCACTACGCTAACCAATTTGCCCCCTACTAACCACTCAATGACTCCAGCGGAAATTGAACAGGCGGTTGCAGGACTGACCAGAGGAATCCAGGATTGCCACCTCAAGCAAGGAAGAACAACCTGGCGTGGAAACTCCAGAGCTAAGTCATGGTGGGACCCGGTGGTGTTAAAACCCCTTGTCTCCAACCGGAATAGGGCTCGGAGATGGATGCTCCTGGACAACTCTCCTGAAGCGAGAGAGTGCTACTACGCTTGGCAAAAAGCATTCAAAGCCAAGGTAGAAGAACTGAAGCTTCAACACTGGCGCTGTTTTCTCGCAAGAACGGGTGACGCAGCCGCGTTCCAAGCTTACAAGTTCACTAAGGCCAAGATGGCGAACACAATAGAGCCATTGTACAGAGCTGATGGGTCCTTGACCACCGATGCGGTTGAGCAAGCAGAAATATTGTTCAAGGGCACATCGGTGATCCACACAGAGTGTGACCTAGCTGATGTGATTACTCCCCCCATGATTGCAACTGACGATTTCCCCCCAATCACAGAGGATGAGATAAGACGAGCAATCAACTCACTGCCCCCCAAGAAGGCAGTAGGGCCCGATACAATCCCCAATGAACTTATCAAAGCCGGAAACAGCCAACTAACCCCTTTTCTTGCCCCTCTCTTCTCATCTTGTCTCCGCACTCAACATTTCCCCACCCTCTGGCGAGAAGCCACCACTGCCATTATCCGCAAAGCGGATAAGCCCGACTACCAAGATCCAAACGCTTACAGACCCATAGCCTTGCTCTGCACAATGGGTAAACTTTTTGAAAAAGTGCTGAATGAGAGACTGATCCACTGGATTGAATCTAACAACGTTCTCCCCCCCAGCCACATGGGTGGAAGGAGGGGCAGGAACATCACAGATGCGTTGATTCTGCTAACCTCTTGGGTCAAAAACCACTGGCGCAATAAACGTGTAGTGGCTGGGCTCTTTCTGGACGTCAAGTCCGCCTATCCTACAGTTTATAAGGACCGACTTCGCAGCCGTCTGACTGAGCTTTCTTGCCCCCCTTACCTAACAGCCATCATCTTCTCTTTCCTTACAGACAGGTCCACTTCGATGAGGATGGGAGATTACACTTCCCCGCCCTTCAACATACCCGAAGGTCTACCTCAAGGTTCCCCACTCTCAGTGACACTCTACACCCTGTATAACAGTAGCTTGCTGGTTCAAAACACCACATCCTTCTTGGACAGCAAGATCTCCATTGGATATGTGGACAATGTGGTCCACCTGGTGGCTGCCGCTTCGGCGGATGAAGCCATGACCTTGCTGACAGAAGAGGCTATAAGGTCGCTGAAATGGGGAAAAAAGTATGGCGCGATCTTCGATAGAAAGAAGGCCGTGGTAATGGGTTTTTCCCCCAAACCCACCAACTACCCTCCTTTTAACTTTGACGGGCATGTCCTCACCCCTCAGCCTTCTGCCCGCTGGCTAGGTATAATACTCGACAACAAACTCACTTTTGCTGACCATATTCAAAAAGTCAAAAAGACAGGCGACTTGACATTAATACAGCTCGGACGGATCATTAAGTCCACCTATGGTCTGAATCTTCAGTTAGCACGCCGCCTAGTCAGTGCAGTGCTGTATCCTAGGATACTGTTCGGCAGTCTGATTTGGTTCACGGCAAGGAACAAGAAGATGGTATCTCAGATACTGGATGGCCTTTTCCTCCAAGCTAGCAGACTGATAACCGGACTGTTTAAGCAAACCCCACTACCATTTGTCAAAATGAGTAGCGGGCTGAAATCCCTAGTTGACACACATGCCAAATTATCCCTCTCTTACATTCTGAAAGGACTCACCAGAACCTCCCCGCACCCAGTTGCACCTTTTCTGCTGAAAGAACTTACCGAAGCTAAACCCTCTTTCCCCAGCCCTTTGCATGCATTTACAGGTCTCGATGAACTGCGCCCTCACCTGGAGCGGAAGATGGAGACCATAAAGGTTTCTCCGTTTCCCCCCTGGTCAAACAAAAGCTTGAAGGTACACAATCTGGGTGTTGCAAAATCGAAAGCGGTCGAGTTGATCCAAACTCAGATCGAAGACGAAAAGAAAGCCGGCGCACTTTTAGTCTTCTCAGATGGCTCATGGATTCCGGGAATTGGAGCCGGAGCTGCCGCTGCTGCACAAAATTGTTCATTCTCGGACTCAGTAAAAATCCCCTCTCACCACCTGATCTCCAACTTCGAAGCTGAACTGATAGGAATTGGACTGGCCATCAGATTAGTCAAACGAGTAATCTGGTCGGCCTGGCCTGGCAGATTCAACGCAGTTGCTCTATTCAGTGATAATCAGGGGGCACTTATCCGGACAGCTGACCCTCACCAACCCGCTTCTGGGCAACATTTATTCACTGATAATTTCTCTTCCATCCGTGCTCTAGGAATGCCGGTGTCCTTATACTGGTGTCCTGGACATGAAGGGATCACAGCAAACGAGCAAGCAGATCAGCTAGCCAAGTCCGAAGCGAAACACCCAGAAGAAGACACAACCTATGCAGCCCTCACCCGGCCAGTTCCTGCCAGCCTCTCAAAAATGAAACAGACCTGCCGATCTTTGTGGGATAAAGGCCCCTCGCTCTCTCCGGAGGAAAGAAAACGCTTCAAGTTCAAAATCGATCCCCGACCTATCATTTCAGCGCTGGATGTACTGGCTAAAGGACTCACGGCAACCTTTCTTCAACTCAGAGCGGATCATGCTCCACTTAATCACTTCCTGTTCAAAATAAAACAAGTCCTTGACCCTAGATGTACTCACTGCCTTGAGAGGGAATCGGCACCCCACTTCCTCATGTTTTGTAAGAGATACAGGTCCATCAGACGAACCCTGAAGCAAAAACTCAAACAGACCAGATGCGGAATCAACACCAACTCATTCCACTCCATAATGGACAACCCGAAGGCGGTTCCAGCGGTAACAGAATACATACTGGCTTCACAGCGATTCCCTAACATCAAGATTTACGACTAGTTTCAAGACAGAAATTTGATATGTCAAAGCGAGGCGGATGACGACTTTTTCTCTTCCTTCACATTCTACCTGTTCTTTCCCTTCTCTCCTCAAATACATACTCAGTCGTATCTTATGGTGCTGGTTTTATTTCTTTTCCTCTTCTTGTTTTCTTATCGCTCCTCATCATTTCTTGATTCTGTTATCCTCTCCCTATGTACGTACATGCTGAAGAGTTGGAGGCGCCTCCTCCGAATCCTTGAAAACCGCAGCGTCATTGACAATACAGGGGGGTATTGTCATTGTTCGCCTTGCTTTCTGGCAGAAGTGTGGGCTACTTTGTTGCCGAAAGTTTCATCTCTTGGTGGGATAGGCCTAGGAGGGGGGGTCTCGAGCCCCGACGCTAATCTATTGCACTATTTCTTTTTCTGCCTTTCTTTTCTTCCTTCTCTATATTACAGCCAAACCGAGAAAGCTTGCGTCTCGGTTGGCGGAAGATTCAAAAAAAAAAAAAAAAAACCGACTGCAGTCGGAATTTTTGGAAGAATACAGCACCCTGTATGCCCATTCGCATACAGGGGTTACTTCAGGGTAAAATCCCTATCTTTTTTCTCCTTCAGTTCCAGGTCATGAGAGTAAGACCATCAGGATCCTGAGGGAAAGTTTAGTCAAACCGGACCATTGACATGATGGCCACCCATGCCCCTGCCCCCCTAGGGCTGGCTGGTTGGGTCCGGTGCGGTCCTGTCGCCGCTACCGGCAGGTATGTTGGAACCTGTACGATGGCTGTATTCTTCCGAAGATTCCGACTGCAGTCCAGATTTTTTTTATTTTTTTCTGAATCTTCTGCCAACCGAGACGCAAGCTTTCTCGGTTTGGCTGTATTTTTTTCTTTTTTTCTCTTCTAAATTTCTCTTCTCTTTTCCTTTTCTTCTCCTTTCTTCTCTCTCGACTACATTTCTAAAGAGACATGAAAAGATAGTGACAGCTATGGGAGTCGAACCCATGTCACAGTCATGGTACAGACCTGCTCTACCGCTGAGCTAAGCCATCTGATGCATGGCGTACAGAGGCTAGAACAATTTCTAATCGGCTACAACACGTTTATGGGTGTCCAGCTAGTTGTGGTACGACACGTTAGATACATATGCAGAATACTCTTGTATATAGAATTTACCTAGGCTATAGTGCGGTATGTGAAATCAATAGCACTTTTAAAAAAAAAAAAAAAAAAAAAAAAAACATAAACCTTAAAACCTTGTTGCCGCGGTGATCGCAAACCTTAATGCATGGATATGTATGAGTATGGACTTGTGTCAACATGCTGTGGTATGCAGTAGATGCTATGATGTTGCAAGCCAAGGGGTTTTCAGCTTGTCTCCCTTGCTGAGGCTCAACACCCATCGATCAAGCCACTCACTCACATCCTCCCGTCGACTTCAACAGATCGGCTTGGATCCTGCGACTGTTTCAAATTTTGAATAATTCTTCATCGCTTCATTCGCGCATTTCGTCATGTCTGTCCAAGAGGTCACCACCAATGCGTTTAATGACCAAAAACCAGGTTAGTATTACCACTGTCATCCTAACTGACTTGCTCAGCACTGATGGCTCTACTCGTTTGGGATATCTTGAACAGGTACTTCTGGTCTCAGAAAACGGTGAGTCATTTATTTGATCTCCAATCCTTCACCTCGTGCCCTTCTTTCTTTTGACTCTCTTAATAAGACAAGTATTGATTTGCTCTTCTATGAACGAAACTGGGTTTCAACAGGGTGAAAGTTTTTGAACAGGCCAACTACACCGAGAACTTCATCCAAGCCATATTAGATGGGATGCCCGAGCCAGGGGCCAAAGGCTCCACATTAGTCGTCGGAGGGGACGGCAGATATTACAGCCCAGAATGTATCCAAAAGATCATCAAGCTTGCCGCCGGTAACCAAGTCAAGCACCTGATCATCGGACACAAGGGGATCCTTTCGACCCCTGCTGTCAGTAACCTTATTCGAAAACGAAAGGCCGATGGGGGTATCTTGTTGACTGCAAGCCATAATCCTGGCGGCCCTAATGCTGACTTCGGCATCAAATACAACGTGTCTAACGGTGGCCCGGCACCCGAAGGAGTGACCGACAAAATTTATGAAATCACTAAAACTCTCAAAAGCTATAAGATGATCGAATTGCCTGAAGTGAATTCCTTTTCTCTGCTCTCATCATTTCAATCACTCACTGACTCGCTTCTTTCTATGGTTCTCGAAACAAACAGGTCGATCTTTTAAAACTTGGCCCGCAAAACCTTGGCCCAATTAGTCTTGAGATAGTTGATTCCGTTGCCGATTACCTCGTACTGCTCAAATCAATCTTCGATTTCGATAGTATCAAAGCTTACCTCCACGGTAGCCCACCGCCATTGAAGGTACTATTCGACGGGATGCACGGGGTCACGGGTCCTTATGGACAAGCTATCTTTGTCGAAACCCTTGGTCTCTCGGCCGACTCGATCCAGAATTGCGTATCCAGTCCTGACTTCAATGGCGGGCATCCTGATCCCAACTTGACGTACGCCCACGAGTTGGTGGCCCGGGTCGATAAGGAGAACATAGGTTTTGGGGCGGCCTCAGATGGAGATGGGGATCGAAACATGATTTACGGGAAGGATGCATTTGTCACCCCAAGTGACAGTGTGGCTATCATTGCCGATTGGGCCCAGGAAGCTATCCCTTACTTCAAAGATGGTATTAAAGGATTGGCGCGTAGTATGCCTACCAGTGGCGCTATCGATCTGGTTGCTAAAGCGAAAAAACTTGAAGTGTTTGAAGTGCCAACCGGATGGAAGTTTTTTGGCAATTTGGTAAGTCACGATAGTCTGCTGAAAGCTTAATCTTATAACCGACACACCATAGCTGACAACCCTCCATGTTATAATTTTCTACGTGCCCAGATGGATGCCGGTCGATTGTCTATCTGCGGGGAAGAATCGTTTGGAACCGGTTCAGATCACATTCGAGAGAAGGATGGACTGTGGGCAGTCGTCGCATGGCTTTCGATCCTTGCCGCTGCCGAGAAACGAGGAATCAAGAATGGGATCAAAGGTGTGCTCCAAGACCACTACAAGAAATACGGGCGAAGTTTCTTCTCGCGTTATGATTACGAGGAAGTGGATTCGGCTGGTGCGTCGAAGATGATGGCACACATCGAGTCGGCCTTTGGGAAGGGTGATTTCATCGGCAGTTCGTTGAGCTCGGAGACTAGCAGTACGAGCTTCAAAGTCAAAGAAGCCGGTAACTTCAGCTACACCGACCCGATCGACAAGAGCGTCTCCAAGGGACAAGGACTTTTCGTCAAGTTTGCAGACGGAAGTAGGATTGTCTATCGATTGAGTGGAACCGGAAGCGCCGGTGCGACGATCAGAATATACGTCGAAAAATATAGCAAAAACGAAGAAGAGTACGATCAAGATACTCAAGTCGGTTTGAAGCCCTTGATCGAAGTGGCCTTGAAATTGTCTAAGCTACAAGAATTCACTAGCCGTGACAAACCTACTGTAATCACTTGAGATTCCAATCGGTAAAAACAAAGTATTCTTTTAGATATGTGAACTTCAAGAAAAAACAGAAAGCCTAAAATTTACTCTGCTCTACCGTAGAAAAATGTACACAAGTGTACTCCTGATTGTCTCTTTCCTTTCTCTTCACACATCATCATCCATCATAATCGAAGTTAAATTATTGTTGTAGTGTACTCATCATCTGTATGCCTCCAAAAAAACGTAAAACAGAAAAACAGAGTCCATGCTCGAAAACCATACTATTTATCTACACTTTTGTTGCTTCTTCCTGTGCGGACACCACTCCTATCTTGAATTGCTGTTGTAAAATGGCATTTCACCATAAATATATGATTCCATGTCTTGGAAATCTCCACCCCTCAGAACATCTTATGGCCGCGGGTGTTACAACCTATGCGATTGCAGAATTTGGTAAGTGTGTCATAAGTTTGTGATCCATGATGGCCCTGGTTTTACACACTTCGACTTTCTGGAAGTGCCGTCACCATAAAAATCAAACCTCCATCCCTCCTTATGTAAGCATGGAGTATTGTCTGCAAGTGTTGAACTCTACATATTCAGATACAATTTGCATTTGCAATTCGCCATTTTTGAAACTTCATTTTTTATCTCCTGGGTAGTTCTTGGTGCGTTCCGCAACCGTTCCATGACCAACTTACTCTTTCCTACTCCGTCGGTGACTCAGGAATAGCTTAGGACGAAGCAGATTCAGACTGGGAAGAGGATGAGGATGATATCCAGTCAATCGAACAGTGATCACTCAGCGATCAATGAACACAGTCTCCACTCGATCCACGAGCATAGCCCGCTCCTCCCCAGCCATGAGACTGATGACCACGAGGTCTATAGTCGTCGAACCAACCGCACCGAAAAGATAAAGAGCTATATTCAAAAAGCCACCATATCGCTACAATCGGCCGTTCAACACATTTTGCCTAGAAATAGGCTGCCGGAGTGGCTTCAGACAACCAGACCCCTTCACGATTCCACTCCCAGTCGTCCATCGATAATAGGCCAGGTCTTCTTTCTCGGTGTTTGGTTTCTCATCAATCTCACTCTCACTCGACAGTCTTGGTTTCTTTCGAGTCTCAGCGAACCCAGCCAGTTCCCACAGCCAACGCAACCAGAATGGTTACATTGTGTCGGATCTTTTTGGCTCAAGGACGACGGATGTGGCCTCAACGGTGCAGATTGTATGATCTATCGTAACGTGAGTATGGCCTTCAGATGTCCATCTCATTGCGGGACAAGCACCGGCTTGTTGAACCCGCGAGTGGTCGGTGGCGAGGTAGCCAATTACCGGCCACTCGTGGTTGGAGGGGGTGGACAAGGAACAAGAAGATATCGCCCGGACTCCTTCATTTGTCAATCGGCCGTCCATGCTGGCATCGTTTCTGCGCGTTGGGGTGGCTGTGGGGTCTTGAAGATGCTGGACGGAACCGATGGATTCGAAGGATCGCGGGCTAATGGGATCCGCTCCATCGGCTTCCCCGCTCCCTTCCCAACGAGCTTCACCTTCCTGGACAATGTCCATAGTAGCGGATGTACCGACCTATGGCCCATCATCATCTTGTTTAACGTTTTCTTCAGCGCCATCTTCACTCTTCTTCTCGGCCCCTCTCCCCAGATGTTCTTCTGGGTGCTGAGCTTTGTCGGCTATTGGATCGTCATCGTGGCCTCTGAACCAAGCAGTTTACCGCCATCATGGTCAAAAGCCAGCGGCAATTTCTTGCCCTTCCTCTTTGTCTGCTATTGGCTATGGGACGTCTCCTGGAGCAACACGCTTGAGACTATCAGTAGTCTGGATAGGGTGTGGGTGTACCTGGGGCCGTGGTGGTTTGGAGTACTCATGAACGTAAGCTCATCTTTCTCTTGAACCAAAAGAAGAACAGCAAGAAGAACAAGTCAAAATGTTTGGAGGTCTTCAACAAGCAAAAAAAGAAATCCAAGCTGTTTACGAATAAAGATCAGAGCTGATTTCCACTTGCCATCTGAACATCTAGTTGACAGTCGGTTGGGTACCCTTAGACAGGTTAACAACCCATGACCTTCAACAGCGGTCTGGCGCACTTCTGGCTCTAGCCGTCTTACTCACCATCACAGGTGTGCTTGTCTACTATCAAGCTGTGTGTTTGCGGAAAGAAAACCGGCTCGAAAAATTGCGACTTCCGTGAGTCTCCCAATCCATCTTGTCTGGGTGTTCTCCTCAATTACTCGAGTCATCAGAGTATTTTTACCATATTTGATTAATAACCCAGGGGCAGATATCTGACGACTTCGAATCATCTTCGTTTTTAGGTACGCGTTTCTGGCGATTGTACTACTCTTACTTTCATTCGTACCTCAACATTCACTCAGGATTCATCACTATCTAATCGGTAAGAAGGAAACGTCGTTTTTGTTTCGTAATCTTGGGAAGCATACTCCCCGATCCTAAAAAAGATTTCCATCTTTGCAGGGATTTTCTTGAGCCCATTAGCGTCAGCCAAGACGAATTTATCCGGAGTCATCCAAGGCTTTCTTCTCGGGATGATCCAGAATGGAGTGGCACGATGGTCGTTTGGCTCGATCCTAGAACGCACCTCGGAGGTGATCGGGGACGGATATCAGTCTGGCGACTTGATGCCTGAGTTCGATCTAAGAAATAGCGGCCTGATCAATAACTCTCAAGACCTGAAGGTTTCGTGGAAGGTCCATGGCTCTAGCACTACTAATCATACTGCAACATTGGTTGGAGTTATGGCCAACGATATCTTAAGATTCATCATCCCTCATCCCAACCACTCGCTCATCATTGATAATTTCTTGGAAAATCTTACCTCTATTGCTACTACCTCCTCTTCCACCATGATCAGTGCTATGAATCAAGTCTTCTTCAGACTCGCGTTTTTTGAGGATAAGTTCAACTCGAGTCATCGGATCGGTGAATATACCGGGCCGGTCACTTTTTTTGTTAATAATCAAACTTGGCTGGGTCCGACTCCAGTTCGCTAGAGGCATATTTGTATGTATGTATTCATATTGAGAATATTTGATTCAATCTCAACTTGTAACATGTACACCCATCTTTCTCAGACAAACAAAAAGAAACATCAACCCATGTTTTTAAAATTTTAGCTTATTTACATCGAAAGTGCCTCATGGGAAACACCATCAATCTTGGAAACGGGGGCGAAGGTCGTGATCTACATAAACTGATTTGTTAAATCCTCGCTATTCATCTTCTTGTTCTGTGCAAATATCCACTGATTTTGTAGTGTTGAGAAAACACAAACTTCAATAATATTCTATGTCATTTCTTGGCATATGGATGTTCTCTGTGTTCTTCTGGAACAGAGAGCGATATAAATCAATGAGAATCTGTTTTTGGGTCAGTCTGCTTGAGTAAAATGAGGTGCTGGGTCCGGATAGCGGACCGAGATAATTCAGTATCCCTCCGTCACCGGGCGGACCGGGTCATCTCCGCCCCCGAGTGTTAATGTCCGATTACCGGGGCAGCTTTAGTGCCACTGGTGCACAAACACAGACTTCTATGTAAGGACACCACAGCAAAACCACTTTCTAAGGACGAACAACACAACTCAAAATACCATTTGATCGAAACCGACGGACAAATTCAAGCCCAGTTCAACTCACCCAAGATGGTATTAGCAGACTTAGGGAAGAAGATTAATGCTGCCTTCAGTGAGCTCCAGCGTACACCTCTGATTGACGACAAGGTGAGTCATCTTTCTTCCTTTGGAACTTAATGATGTGTTGGAGATCTTGAATGATCCAAATAATTGCCATTTTTTATGATACTTCTGATCAGGCTCTGGATCTTCTCTTGAAAGGAATCTCTGCTGCCTTATTATCCTCAGATGTCAACGTGACCCTGGTCGCCAACCTCCGGAATCGGGTCAAATCGAAACTGTCACCTCAGCTGGAAAAGCTCATCCAATCACCTGCCAAGCAAAAACAATTGGTCCATAAAGTACGGTCTTCAATCAAGAGGAGATAGAGGACTGTTGATCGACATTTTCTCTGTTTATCCATAGACCGTCTTCGATGAGCTCGTTGCCCTCGTCAGTCCGACTGGATCTGCTTCGGATCATGCATCTTCCTCGAGTCGAACTACCGAATACACACCCTGGCAGCCTAAGAAAGGGAAACCAAACGTCATAATGTTCGTGGGTCTTCAGGGGAGTGGAAAGACAACGAGTTGTACAAAGGTTTGTTTCAAAACTATCCCTTCAGTTTTCTTGCTTGAATAAAATCTCTCAATCTCAATTATTTAACCTACCACCTGCGAACTTCTTCCGGTTTGGCGAAATAGCTGGCCGTGTACTATCGGCGCAAAGGATTTAAAACTGCGCTAGTTTGTGCGGATACGTTCAGGGCAGGTGCATTCGATCAATTAAAACAGAATGCCACCAAAGCGAAAATTCCGTTCTATGGATCGTATGTCATTGGAAACCGTCTCACGTTTTGAGACTCTCGAGTTTGGGCTGATGGCACCCTTCATCTGACCTAAATCCTAGTCATACCGAGACAGATCCTATAGCAATCTCTACGGCCGGTGTGACCAGATTTAAACGCGAGCGGTTCGAAGTCATCATCGTTGACACCTCGGGGCGCCATCGGTAAGTTCATTTTGTGCAACAAATAAAACTTGTGATTGAACTCCCGAATCTCTAGCACCCGTATCTTCTAAACTGCTGATATGATTGATAGATTTACTTATGTAACCGCTCGTTTTGTACAGCCAAGAAACTGAATTGTTTGAGGAAATGAAGCAAATCTCGGCGGGCGTGACTCCCAATTTGACTATCATGGTTCTCGACGGTGCTATCGGTCTGTTTGAGCACACGCCTTTTAACGATCTTATATTGTTTTAGCTATTATGCACTCACATGCTGACATGAAATATCTCGTTTGATCTTGAAGCAATCAGGGCAAGCTGCAGAAGCACAGACACGTGCATTTAAGGAGGCTGCTGACTTTGGGGCCATTATTGTAACTAAGATGGATGGTCACGCAAAAGGAGGTGGTGCAATTTCTGCGTGAGTGTCTTGTATCAATCATTGGAAGGCACAAATGTTCAAATTGCTTAAATTACTTCCTTTGTTTTTCTCCCCGTCATTGCGACATTTACCCGTGAGTAAACTAGTGTAGCAGCAGCTCAAACTCCGATCATGTTTATTGGTACAGGCGAACATCTCCATGATTTAGAACGATTTGCTCCTGAACCATTTATCAGCAAGCTCCTTGGCATGGGCGATATCGGGGAATTCTTGGAAACTATGCAGGACCTTCAATCAGCTACGCCCAGCCAAAATCGAGAAGAAATGAGACAAAGAATTGAGCGAGGAGTATTTACAATCAGGGATCTCCGAGACCAAATGTCAAACTTGACACAAATGTTTGTCTCCTCAACATGTACATTGATTGTAAGGGAGCTGAATTAATCGTTTCTTCTCCGGGAAATCATATTTTCACAGGGGCTCGATCAGCAAGATTGCATCAATGATACCGGGAATGTCCAACATGATGGCTGGATTGGGCGGAGATGGTGATGAAATGTCTCAAAAGATGAAACGAATGGTTTTTATTTTCGATGCAATGTCCCCGCAAGAGCTAGATTCGGATGGGAGTATTTTCCGGAAGAAACGACGCACGGGAGACAATACTCGTCAACTTGCGGACGGTGAACCGCGAGAGCCCCATCCACGAGTGCTCAGAATAGCCAGAGGGAGTGGGACGAGCGTTGATGAGGTGGAAGGGATGTTGGCGCAGCATGCGATGTTTGCTACGATGGTCAAGGGCGCTGGTGGGAAGCGGAAATGGGAACAGCAGCAGGCTTTGAAGCAGGCTCAACAGCAGTCCAAGGCAATGATGGGGGGCAGTCGGGGTGGAAAGGTAAAACAGCAGCAGGTGACGATCGAGCAATTGGTCAAGATGGCACCAGCCCAGCGCTCACAGGTTCTCGTGAGTAGCACAGTGGACTTCCTCTTCGTGTGCACAGCTTAACTAAATCATGCTAACATACTTGTGCATGTCTCTACAGCGTCAGGCCCCAGCAAGCGTGCGCAAGCAGATCGAGGATGCAGGTAAGCACGAGTTTTACAACCTGTATGAATGCTCCCGGGACCTAATTCATTGACTAAATATGAACAAATGGCCAGGTGGAGTGGATGCGTTCTATGCATTATCTCAGGCAGCACAAAGGACAGGAGGCCAACCATCAGCAGCCGCCCGGGCGCGACGAGCGGCAGCGGCGATGGGCGGAGCAGGAGGCGGTGCTGGCGGGGGCGGGTTAGGATCTTTATTGGGCGGTCTCGGCGGTCTCGGCGGCCTCGCTGGGGGTCAGATGCCCGACCCTGAGGTGATGAGGAAGATGATGGAACAGATGGGCATGGGCGATCTCGGCTCAATGTTTGGTGCCGGTGGCCCCGGCCCCGGCAATTATTAAACTACATCCCATCACCAACCTTCTCGTTTCCCTTGGCTTACTCGCCATTTGTTTTCCAATCTCCTATCGGTCGTCGCAATACTCATTCCTATCCCTACCCTGCTCCACCAACCAAATATACTATGTGTGATGGCAAAACACCAAAAAAAAAAATCCACACATATAGATTTTGTATAATTTATTTACATCACTGCACATTCTAAATTTTCTTGTTAACCAAACAAGGCTCACGCTACCCGAGTAATATGCAAGCTCCACTCCAGCGACATTGGACCATTGGCTAGGGTAAACGTACATATATATTTGTTGTCCTTTGGGATCTGAGACCTGAACCCTCTGCGTGATGAAAATGGGCTTGGGTTTAGTTCCCTTTGTAGGCTGGGGCCATACTTGAGTCTTGAAAAGATTGGGAAAGAGGAGCATGGGTTAGCCTGATTTTTGAATTGCATTTGAAGGGCCGGTTCAATGGGGACTCCTAAGTGGAAAAATCAGGTTGGTGGACTGAGGACCAGATCCATGATGAACATAGATAGATCTGCAGCCTGATTCCTGTCTGTGTATCTACCTCCTCTGAACTCCTTTTCCATCTTTTCAGTCCTCTTTCTGTCTCTCCCAAAAAGGGGCACTCTTCGACGCGCATCTCTCTCCATGGGATCTGATCGGTGAGTGACTTAAGACTTGATTGGCGAGTCTTCTGCTCCAATCTGCTCCTGAGTCCTCCTTTGAACTCAGCCTGACAAGCCCCTCTGCTCTCTAAAATAACATAGAAAATTTGAATTTCACAGAATTTTTCAGTGATAAGTTTTGTAAGAGTTTGGACTGCTTTTGGTGTCCAACCACTAGTCTAACTCATGGATTCTCACAGCTGAGACACTGATTCTGAACAGATGGTTGAAGGTTGAGCAAATCATTGTTCAGCAGGGGCAGTTTTGAAAAGGTTTGGTTTCTGAGCTTGGAATCAGCAGTAGATGAACTGCCCTAATGTTTTCAAGACTATGTATATTCTTCCTACTCCAAACCACCAAATCACAAACTATATCAGCATATGTAGACACAAACCTTCTCAAACTATCTAGTGTTGGGTTCAAAAATATATTTGAGTGGCAATTGGCTGGACGTGCCTCTGACACTCCCAGTTTTACTGTATATGTACCTGTCTCAGAAAGATAGGTGGACTCAGCAACTCTAATTCTAGGAGTCGTGAACCAAGAATGTTGTCTATTGTGCTTCTGGCTTGCCCACAGTGAATTGAAATTGTTCAGAAGATTTGTATCAGGTTTATCAGCCTCATCTCCCCATGACCTAAAACTGTGAGTAAATTCAGAGCTCCATGAGCTTGACTGATGTTGTTTGATGCCTCATGAACTTCAAAATCCATGTTTAGGGCAATTTTGACCTGCTGCAACTTGTTTATAAATCACGATCCCTTACATCTCTTCCTCCAAGGTGAAGATTGACAATTCCAAATAAAATATATAGTTTGGATGGATATATATGGTATCAGATGAATGGTACACTCCTCTGGGAAGAACGGATTGCAGGATTGCACTGTTGCACACATACCCAACAGTTCAGGACATTCAGATTCATAGGGACGGGTATTACCACCCGCCACCCGGACAGGACAGGACAGCTCCTCAGTCTCACCGATTTCAGCCTTGATTCTTGATCGATGGTAATCGACAGATTGGTAAAGTTTCAACTAATTATTGATTTAATTGATCTATTTACAAAGATGCAGGTGAGCTTTTTGCTTGGCAATGAATTCACTTTGTAAGTTTGTTGCAATGGATTTCTTTTCAACAGGCTGAATTTGTATCTATCAACCGGGGTGTTTTCATTTGCCTTGAGAATGGGAGTTGCAAGGTTGAATTTTTGGAAATGTCTTGCGAAAATTCAGAAGGAAAAGGCCAGAAAGGCCCATCTGATCAGAGAGGTTCAGAGCTGTCCAGAGATATGTGTATGCGTTTAGATGACCCACCTCGCAGCCAAATTGAGTGCATATATGTTTATCCACATACATACGTCATCGATCGGCATCCTCCTCTCTAAGCCCATAGATTTCAAGCTCGATCGATGGTTTTCACGCATTTAAAAAGGTTTTGTCCTCATTTCTCGGTGTTGTAACTGAATTCAACAAGTCATAAAGATGTCTCACCAGTTATTAAGCCGTTTCGGTCTCTGTTGACCATCACCACCCTTCAAAGTCAGGGACCTACACAACCAAGACCAGGCTGACCCTTCTCCCTCCTCTCCATCCAATCGAATCCCAAAACCCATCAGATCATCAATCAAACCGACAACAGCCCGCTCCGAACCAACACTCAAGAAAATAAAACCCATTGCCCTCCCGATCGTCCATCACCCCACATGGCTTCCGACATCCCCTCGTGCGGTGGTTCAAACGCCGGTCAACTAAAAGAAAATACTATTATCGTCGTCTTAGGGGCCAGCGGTGATCTCGCTAAGAAAAAGGTCAGCCTTACATATACATGTGGATATGGATCCCTTTTCCTTTCCTCGTTCCAGTTTCTCCCTTCACTCCCTCCCCCCCCCCCTATTTGAGAAAATCACCATTACTTCCCATCTTTCGATTGGTCTTATGTAAAAATAAATGAGACTGTGGCAATTTCATTATCCTCTGTCATCAGCTTTGTGTTTCAATCTGGTATTCACGAAAGTGATAACAACAACATGAATTTAAGGCGCAAGTTGTAATCTCTTGCTTACCTCCATCCATCTGATCGTACTCATGTAGACCTTCCCAGCCCTCTTTGGATTATATTTCAATGGATTTTTACCCGAAGGTACCCAAATAATTGGCTATGCAAGAACAAAGATGGACCAAGAAGAGTTTCACAAACGAGTATCTCAATGTATCAAAGCACCCATCCCGGCGATGAAGAAGAAATTAGAAGAGTATCTGGGCATCTGCAGTTACGTTGACGGTCAATATAACGAGGACGCCAGCTTTCAAAGACTGGAAGAAGCTATCAAGGACAAGGAGAAGGATTTCAAAGGGTCCGATCGTCATAGAATCTTTTACATGGCCTTACCCCCTAGTGTTTTCATCGACGTTGCAACCGGTTTGAAAAAGAACAACGTGCGTGATCATCAAGACAATGAGCGCCAGTTTCGAGGAATTAGTTCTAGCTTTGAAAGCGTCTCTGAACTCCTTGCGCCCTCTGACTTGATTTGTATGTTTAATTCGCAGTATTCTCCGAATGGCTTTAATCGGATCGTCGTCGAAAAACCGTTTGGTATGGATCTTCCGACCAGTCGTGAGCTGATGGGAAGCCTGAAGGCCCTGTGGAAAGAAGAAGAGGTAAGCGTAATGATCCCCGAAATAGAAACAAAATGGCCCAAATGAGCTTGGATACTAAGGACGTAGTGCATTCCTTTTAGACTTTCCGGATTGATCATTATCTCGGCAAAGAAATGGTCAAGAATCTGTTGGTTTTGCGATTTGGGAATGTCATACTGGATGCCTCTTTCAACAAGAACTTGATATCAAACGTTCAGATCACATTCAAAGAACCTTTTGGAACTGAAGGTCGGGGTGGCTACTTTGACGAGTTTGGGATCATTCGAGATGTCATGCAAAATCGTTAGTTTTTCACTAGGGTCTTGCCAAGTAAATATCATCAAGCAGGAATTGTCTACTAATCTACTTTCAATGATTTCTTCTGTCTTGATTCAAGATCTACTTCAAGTTCTATCTCTCTTGACAATGGAGCGACCTGTCTCATTCTCTGCCGAGGATATCAGAGATGAAAAGGTCAAGATTTTGAGATTTATCCCTCCTATCCAGCGAGAGCAATCACTGCTTGGACAATACACCGCAGCGGACGACAAACCAGGCTATCTGGACGATGACACCGTACCCAAAGGCTCTATCTGCCCCACCTTTGCTGCATTAGTTCTGTACATCAACTCTCCTCGGTGGGAAGGTGTGCCCTTTGTCCTGAGAGCTGGCAAGGCTCTCAACGAGCAAAAGACAGAGATCCGCATTCAGTTGAGTAGAAGTTTGAATCAACATGTGCTTAACGATGTGCGCAATACTTATTTTTCAATCTCGATGTAATCATCGGTTGCAATCAGGTACAAGGATGTCACTCAAGGTATTTTCAAAGACATTGCTCGAAATGAGCTTGTAATCCGAGTTCAGCCGGGAGAAGCAGTTTACCTGAAGATGAATGCCAAAGCCCCCGGATTGGCTATGAAATCGGTCTCGACTGAGATGGACTTGACTTACAAAAGAAGGTTTAGTGACTTGAAAATCCCTGAGGCGTGAGTGTTGTTTCAATTTGAAATTGATTTGAAGCCTGTGCATGGAGGCATTTCATTGATTGATCCGCTTTGGCCATGTCCCCTAAAGCTACGAAGCCCTGATCTTGGATGCACTCAAAGGAGACAGATCAAACTTTGTTCGTGACGATGAGCTGGAAATAGCATGGAAAATATTTACGTTAGTCGAAGTTTCTGCGCCACGGTTACCGTTAGATATGGTATTAATTTAGAACACATCCAATCTTCCAATTCATGACCGATGAAACAGGCCACTGCTACACTACATTGATCGTGAGTATTTCATTTTTAGTGAAAATGATTATATTGCACATTGATCATCTTCTTACCTCCACTGCTTTTCATTTATTCCAGAGGAAAAACCAAAGCCTGAACCCTATTCATACGGATCGCGAGGTCCAGAAAACTTGGATGACTTCATCACAAAGCGTACGTTCTGCTTTCGATCCTCAAAAAGAGTAAATTGACCGATGTGCTTTGTTTTTGTTTTCACAGATGCGGGATACAAAAGATTTACACAGGGGTATAAGTCAGTTTAAAGATTGTGGATACATTAATTCTCATGAGGTATGCGCGGGAGGAAACGCCTGATGAAGAAGAACATCTACTGATTTGAATTGGCCGTTGGTTTGGATTGAACCTTTTGAATAAGGTGGCCTGTACAATCAGCACTATATTAGGGTTCTCAGATCCTACACCTCTTCAGCAATCGAATGGGTCAAAATTGTGAAGAGAACCAGGAGAAAATTAACCGATCGCATCTTAACTCTTACCATCTTATGGCCCCTTTCCTGAGCGTTATCCACTGCGTTTTTTTTTTCTAAGGATCATTCTTTGAAGTTGGAGACTTCTCTTCATGGTGGAACTGAGCGAAATGCAATGTATATGAGTATAATATCTATATATGTAAACACATACATGTTATTATCCTATTATTATTATCATCATCACCATCATACGTATATAAGGTTAGGCCCTCGACCTGGAGGATAAGTGCACAATTGAGACTTTCTAGGTGCGATTTTGTGACCCCCAGAAATGCTTAAAATCAGCTGCGCAAATGGAAGAACTTCCCGTCAATTTTACAGCCCCCCGTAAAGCTGTTTTTAAAGGCCATAAGTTGGGTTTCCCAGCAAAAATTTAGCTTTACAGCCTGAAAATCTACCTTTACAAGGCCTGTACATGCAACCAATAGGACGGTTCACATCTGAACTTTGGAGCAAGTTTTATAGCATTTATCATTAAAATTTTCCAAGTTTGTCAAAAATCTCAAATTCCTCCAAGCCTGATGATTCATGAGATTTGACAAAATTTGTAAAATTTTATCCATAAAAGTGCTAAAACCTGCCTTGAACTTCAGACGTGAACCGGCCTAATGGGAAGTCATACATTGATTTATTTACGCCTCGCACTTCCGGTTGCCTAAAATCACTTGATTTAGAAGGAGCACCTAAGCCTTATTTGTTGGTGGAAACTTGATATTGATTGATCTTTGCCATTAGATACAGTTCAGGACTTCCCTCACAGCTAACAAACAGACAATGTAAAGTCCTGTTGTGTGTGATTGAACCAATCAAGGAGCTTAGAATATCAAATCTTTCTGAGTTGATGAACAGCTCAGCAACCTGTAGTGCATGCTGAGTTGATCTTTCATGTCACAAAAGTCACAAGAAAGTGCAAACTACAAAGTTGTGATTTGTCAGGACTTTGAATACTTACAAGGATTTGTGAGGTTCCAGTTGTGGAGAGTTGTCTAAATCTGAGAAGAGAAGAGTAATTTTAGATCACTTTTGATGCTCAGTTTAAGCCTTCTCAAGATTAGTCAAGCTTCCGGTATTCTGTAGCTGGGGGAATACACGTCTTTGATGGTGGTTGAATTGGTTACTGGTATGAAAAGGATAGCAAGCATCGATAGAGTACTTCCTGTTTGATAATCTGGATACTAGAGAACAGAATGGTAAACTGGGGTTGAGCTAAAACAATTCAACTTTTCAATTGACATATTTTTCCAAGAGACATTTATAACACCTGCTTTCTAGAAAGAAGTAAGTTTTCTTTTGGGAAAAAAATGAAGGGTGAACAGTTTCCTTCTGGTTTTCAGCACTGTAGAAGGAAAAAATGCATCTGCTTCAGATGGGTTTCTTCTACATTCATGCACACTACAACCTTTACTGGATATCCACATAGGATATCTGGTAAAATATCAGGGATATCCAGTAGACAGCAGTTTTTGTTCTACAAGTTGTTTTCTGATTTCTGTAAGTTTTCTGTAAGCTTCTGTAACCTTTCTATAAGCTTACTGTAAGTTGCAGAAGCATAACAGGAGGACTTCCACTTTAGAGAAAAGTTACATGGAACTTACCAAAATATTACAGAAATGCTGCAGAAATGTTACAGAAGGTTTGCAGAAGTCAGAAAACACTTTACACAACAAGATTCAAAAACTGGTGTCTACTGGATACTCCTGATACTTTAACAGATATCTGGTGCAGGATTGTCAGCTCTGGTCTCTTATGTGACCTAGAGTTGATGGGATAAAGGGTCACACTATAGCCAAAGAGTGGCCAGTGGAAATAAGTCCAACTCAACACTGGTACAGTGGAGGGACTGGCTCCTTATAAGAATAAGGGACAGCTGTGGAATGAGCCTCACAGTGCCTGAGCTTAAGATAATAAGAAGAATAGAGTTGTACTAGTCTTATAAGTTAATAAGGTAACTTATAAAGACTAGTAGTGAGATAAAGGAAAAGGTACAACAAGTTTTATGTAGATAATATATTACTAAAAAACCCCACTCACTAAGTATATGTTTTAGTAAGGTTGTTGGGTTGGTATGGTAATATTGTCTGGGGGATGAATCTCAGGGGGAGAGGCATCCTCTTAAATATTACAGAGCAGGGGTCAATCTGCTGCTGGGACCGGTGCAGTCCCCTTATTGTTACACTTTTCCTTGGGGGAAAGTGTCAGGATATTCAGAGCATGCTAAATGTACATGTGCTGAATATCCTTTATTTCAGAAAATACCATAAGAGAGATAAACATAATAATCATACACACAAGAGAGGTAAATAGGATAATCATCTCTTGGATACACCCAGGAGATAATTATCCTTTTCAACTTGATTATAATTTTCATGGAAGAGGTAAATTAATAAAGAGGTGAATCTTTATTAATTTACAGAATAATTATTAACATAAAAATACATGTAAAACGGGATAACACTACTTTATAATTATTAACTTAAAGATTACATATAATAATAATTGTTATGTAACCCAAGGGGGTTACATTCTCATGTAGACACATGGACTAGTGTCTCAGTGTCTGACAAGGATAGATGAAAACTGCTCACTACTGAGCAAAATGCATAGTTGGTCTTATGGATCTATCTCATGGCTCAGCTTGTTATACATGAAGCACATGTAAATGGATGAGTGAAAGATTCAAAGAGGGAAAGAGTTGATGAGTTTGCATTTCTGGATGGACTATAAATAGTAAAGAAAATATATTACAAATGAGATAAAAACAGCAGAAAGCTATTCTAATCTGGACTGATAAGAGCACAGAAAGATACGAGCATAATAGATAAATATTCTAATGATGAGTTTGAAAGGAAAAATAGAGAGTTAACAACACATGAATACTAACAGCACACATTCCAACAACTTTCATCATAAAATTGAAATTTCTGGCTTTGGAGCAAACAATGACTCCATATCTCAATTACAAGACCATGACCCCAGTATAACGTGCTGCTCTGAGGTTAGCTTCCCTCTTGTGTTCTAAATATTAGATCAACCAAAAACTAACACTGTCAGTGTCACCTTCACTCTTGGTCAATGGTCATAAGGGACTGTATAAGATTTTGTTTGTAATATTCCTCTCTATGAAAAAAAAAAAAAAAAAAAAAAAAAAAAAAAAAAAAATCAGCATAGCCAATTAGATGATGGAGTATTTGAGTCCTGACCTCTCTTTGAGCAGCTTACTGGTGTGGAGGCATCAAAAAGGGACTCTGGGTATGGGCAAGTTTGTGGATAATACCACCAGGTGAAAGGCCTGCGACATCACTGATGGGCCTGGTACTCATTGGCCTCGGCCGGCCCATTGAGTCTGGAGTCAACAAAAATCATGAAGATACCAGTTACCATCACCCGCAAGCAGCACTCAACAACGATTTCGCTAGCCAAGAACACGCAAGGTCTGGTAAAATCGGAAACGATCATTGTTGAACTACAGGGAGCGCTTGAATCCTCGGCAAAAGATCTAGAGACTGATGACCCCCAGGCGGCGCTTGAAGGGGCTGAAATCGGACTGATAGACTTGGAGAATCCGGCAAGTGCTCCAATCTATCTGATCAATCGCATAAAAATAGATATTATGGTTTCGTGACGCTCATCAAGCTTTTGTTCATTTCCTGCTAACCTTCTGAAACGAACCTCATTGGGTATTCAGGAAAAGCCAATCTTACGGATCGGGAATCACGAGCTCGAAGGAAAATGTATCAAGCTGGCCAAACCATTGGTAGTCATGCGAAGACAAGAACTAGCTAAGAAGAAGTATCCAGGGATCGATGAATCTGATAATTCAGCGGGAGGCACTAGGAAGACGAGCAACAAGTTTGACATTGTGGATATTATCGAACGGAAATTGATATTCTCTAAAAGACCTCAACCCATCGTCGCAATTTAAAATTCAGAGGTGTATGTTCCGCAACAACTCCTCGTTACTTATAGAACATTTAACCATTACGCCCCAAATCAATCGGATCATATCTTCTAACAACTTGTAATATTATCCAGCATGGAAGAAGCAAGAATCTACGGACCTTTAAACCTTCTATAATTTGTTGAAAGGCGTTACAAATAATGAATCAATAACCACTCTTGGCTCGTTTCTTTTTATAGCTTAAGCCTTACTGATCAACTTGTTTGCTTTAAATAGATGAGGGAAAAAAAAGAGAATAAAACTTTGTAAGATGCAAACATTTTGTTCAAAACAATTTTGATTTTGTTTATTTTTCTTCTGTGCCACAGGCAGTAAAGTCTGCTAGCTGACAAGAAATAAAGCAACGTGAGTAATGAATCATTTTCCAGAAAAAGACAATGAGCCTTTCGCTACCGCACAAAACAATTGGGATTCTAAATGATCTCCTGGATTTGGGACATGAAAGTGGAAAGAATGATGCTATCAAATGGGTTCAAAGAAAAAGAGAGCGTTGTTTTTCGGTTCTTGCAAACTGCAAAAGTGCTTCCTTCGTCCTATTGGTAGCGATCTGCTTCTCAAGTGGTAACCCTTCCATTTTCAGCAAGTTTTTCAATATGTTGAATACGTCTTTAACCTCGTCAGATTTCCAAGAGTCCGGTCCAAGTTCAATACAGCTTTTTCCGTAAGCAAGCAAAAGCCGAAGTCGTACTATAAAGATATCATTGCAGTACAGCTTTTTTCTTGCCGTTTGATAGAGATTCAAGCGCAATTTGGACAAAAATCCGACGGCGGAAGTCTGGACTATGGGTCTAATCAAGTCTTTCAAACCATTTGACGTGATTTCGTGCCGCAATACTTTGTCAATTTCGCTCTGCACTATTGTCGTTGGAATTCACCCTCGGGGTTTCATCAGTTTTTACCTGGATTTTGAAAAGATGAAACGAAAGTAAGGACAACTGACAGTGAGAAATGTAATAATTCTTGAGCTCAATCGAAGCCTTTGCAAGGGATCTGCATGTTTCACGTGCCAACTGACGACTTCCTGATATTATAATCATCAACAACAAATACTCAGATTGGCTTCACTCTTGGCATATAAACTATGAAATTCATCGCACCCAAGTTTTCAAAGTGTTCGACTTTGTCCACGGTTGAAAGGCTTCCAAAGACCGGCCCAGTGGCTTCCAAGAAGAATTGGAAGATGTCCTTCTGTTGTGATTTGTTGGACAATGCAGTCAAAAATAAGGCTCGAGCCGCAATCTTGAATTTGGAAGCATCTTTAGGTGCTGAACTTCTGTGTAGGACCGCTAGGCCTTGTAATTTGTCCAAAAGCACTTGGCCATGACAGTTTTCAAATTCCTTTACAAGGGCGGAAATTTCTTTCTGATTCTCAGCGTGATTGTTGTCAAGATAGGAGTCTGTGTACGATTTTCCTCAGTAAGCCAGCTATAATTGCAATCCAGTCTCAAGATATAACGCCAAGGAGAATGAAAAATCAAGATGCTGCGCATGAGTTTTCAATTTACTTACGCGTCAAAACAGAATTGCTGCTCCCTGCATCAGATGGGCAGCCCAAATTTTACCCACCAATGGAGATTGTTAACAAACAGAAGAAAAAACATTTTACAAGCAGAATGAACATAATCATTTAGCGAAAAATCGCGAGTAAACATTAGCGCAGGTTACTCACAGCCTTCTTTTATTGGCGCCAGTTCCTTAGTTTCCAGGGTAGCAACACCACCTCTTGTGGGATATGCATTTATTCGAGAAGCTGTTCGGCTTGAAGTGCTTTTGACAATATGAACAGGGGCAGTCACCGAGTTTCCGGATGGAATTACATGATTCAAAGGAGCAACGAAAGCAGCAGTAACACTCGAAATCAATGTAAACACCCAAACCAAGAAAACTCTCATCTCCGTGGTTTGGAGGGACGCAAATTTTGAACAGGAAAGTGTCATTATTGATCTGACGTAGGCTGGGTCAATTTCCCAAAACTTAGACGCAAGCTGGCAACACCTGTAGATCAAGTAAGACACAGTTACACCAGGGAAGACGGTTATAAATTCTGGTTTTTTTTGTTGGGTTAAAATAGTTAGATATTGGGCCTTTGAGCACTCTTAGTCCCGGGTTTTTATTTTGCCAGTTCCACTGCATTCTGGCTCCAAAACACTAACGGAACAGAATACATACACATGCCTGGTTGATACGGCTAATGAGCTACTACTACCCAAGACTTTCTCAGCGTGGTCACACATAACCTGCGCGTATTCGATGACACATATCGGAATGTAACTCAATGTGCTCGATTCCAGCTCCACTGTAACTTCGATTATCGAGCGCTCTGACTACGGTCCGTCGAGCGTTTCTCTCCCAATCGGTGTAAACGATTAAGTAGATAAGAAATTCCTTTAATCAAAAGATATGCCATAGGAAATCGGCGTTTTACCGTGTCGTTATCACATGATGGTTGGAGAAACAAAAATGCATCGCGCAGTCATCAAGCAACACGTCATTCCGCTAGGATGGCCAGTTCTTTGGGAATGTGCTCAACTTCACCGTAATTTCAAAGGCCTGTTTCCGATAGACACGCTACGCCTTGTAGCCGTAGATAAATACAGAGTTCCCGTTATTACTTGAAGTTTCATGCACAACAAAAACCTCTGGCTCGGCACATACAACAAATGAAGCTTGATAAGAGAGCCAAAATCTTTTTCATCGACGGGTCGCTGCGCTTGTTACAAAGTATTACTCGGGAATGCAGAGGGGTTTTGCGATGACCGGGATAGTTGTTTGGAAAAGCTCACCATCGCGTCGGTTATCAATGGTGGTTATCCTCATCCAAGTACAGTTTAAACATGAGCCTCAGGGCGGAGGGCGCCCGCGTATCTGTCTGCTGCGAGTCCCGCAAACCTTGTGTGAGTAGTACTCCTGCCTTAGGCTTCACTATGAATTACTCTAGACATGATTGGATCCCAATAAATTCATCTTTTGATGTATTGACCCAATTTTTGAAGCCTTTATTTTTCATTAACCATTGATAGCTATTGTTGATTTTATGTGGATCAAGTGCACCACACCAACATTCTATTTCATTTTGGGATCAAAACTGCCAGTAAATCATCTGAACAGGTAACCTGTTTTTTTCCCCCTTCCTTTGCTTATTATATGACATGAGGTGAATTTGATATGTGTATCACTTCATCAATTATTGATCGGCCAAAGGAGTCCAGCAAGTACACAATTCTGGAAATTCTGTGAAAAGTGGACTTGTAAGTCTGATAAAAAGTTAAATTGGACCCAATTTGTAAGCATAACAGTGTTGTAAGCATAGCATTCCCAGCAACCATTTATCTTGGTTTTGCAGTGAAATCACCTTGGTAATTACACTGCAAAAGGGGTTGTATTGGTAAAAACCCCCGGCGATAAGGTCGCCCAGAGGCGACCAATATATGATTGGTCTCATTGACTGATTTTTTATCGGTCGGGCCCATTGATATATTATAACAAAGGGAAAATGTAGGATCAGCCTTTTTGCACTCCAAAGGCTCCACTATGTTTAGGAGTGCACCACCGCAGATGATGGAGTGCGTGGCTGTGTACTCCAAAGTCATTGGAGTGGCCACAAGTGCACTCCACAGAGCACTGCTCCAAAATGGAGATTGAAGTACATGGGCTCCCACTCCAATTAATCTGGAGTACACCATGGCACACTCCAGGAATTTTGGATTGCACATTCACACACACCTTTTTGGTGTGCATGGGGATCTGTTTGGAGTGCAAAAAGGCGGACCCAAAATGTATCGGTGGGCCTGGCCAATATAAAATCGGTCAAGGAGACCGATCTTATGTATATTGGTCGCCTCTGGGCAATTTTATTGCGGGGGGTTGTCACCGATACAACCCCTTTCACAGTGTTAGAAGCATAGGATCTGTGTTTCCCATCCTCATGCTTGCAATGTGGGGTCATTTTGCTGTTCTATGGGTAATCTAAAAATGCAAAATTGATATTGAGCACTTGATCATTTCCATCATATCCTTTTTTTGGCAAAGAGGCAAGAGAGCCTATTTGTAAAGTTGTGAGAACAAAGATTCAGGTGCCAGAAAACTATCACTGGAAGATCTGCTTGGAAATCCCTAGCATTTCGGAGTTTCTCTTCCAATTCCTGGGATTTGTTTAACCAAGGCACACAATTTTTGTGTTGCTTTTACAGGTGCACTTGATGACTGGATGACTACCTGTCAGGATTTAGAAGCTAAAAGAATTTGAAGTCTGTGATTTATTGCATAAAAGAGCCGACACACTAGAAGAAAAGATATCAATGAGAAAAGAAAGACAATAGGAAGAGAAGAGAAAAAGAAAGAAAGAAATAGTTGAAATAGAACCAACATTGAGACAGAAGAACTTGTGAGAATGAGCTTGACGGAGAGAGAGTTGGAAGAGGAAGAACAAGAGTTGAGGACTGAAGAAGAGTTTGTCAGTAAAGAGAAAATGAAAGAGAAGAGAATGAGAACAGTCAAATCTCACCAGGCAGAAGAGGAAGAGATCAGGGATTAGAATGAGAAGGAAATAAGATTGAGATTGATAGTTTGAAGGAGGTGATGTGTGTGTGTAGTAGAGATTGAGGTGAATGAGGTTGTAAGGGTTGATGAATGAGATGAGGAAGAAAGGAAGATTAAGAAAATGGAGAATGGGAATTGATCCGAGAGTGCAGAGCCTGTGACAGGTCTGTGAATCTAACACTCCCCGTGACTGGAGGGATTTGACTAGTAAGTTGGAAAAGAAGGATCAACAGTTTTGGTGAGGTTGAAGACTGAAGACTTAGGAGCTGCCTTGGTCAGGGCATTGGCCAACATATCGAACGTGCGAATTAGAATTATTTTGATGTTTTTGTATTTGAGTTCTTGTCTGATTCCCTTGGTTTTGAGGTCGATGTGGCGGGTTTTGGGGTTTGAACCGAATTTCTTCAGTTTGTCGTCTAATCCTTTGTTGTCGATGTAATGTGTATTGGCGAATTTTTCTTTGAATTCATCATCATTCATCATCAGTCTTTCGTTGAGTTCTTTGTCTTCAATGTAGTGTGTAGCAGCTTCAAGTTGGATGTTCCAGATGTCCGATAGGAGAGCCTTCAGCCAGGTTCCCTCGTGGAATGAGTCTACCAGAGGATTGAGTTCAGCTTCTGTAGAAGAATACGTGACATTGTGTTGTCTACAGCTATTCCAGGAAATTAGTGCACCAAAGAGATAGCATAGATATCCGGACTGGGAGGTTCGATTTATTGGATCATCTCCCCAGGACGCATCACTGTATATTTTGAGAAGTTGATCGGGTTTCCTGATTTCAAGAGAAAGTTTGAGATCTCTAGTATGTCGAATGTATTGCCAGACCTTTTTGACTTCACGCCAGTGGGTCATTCCGGGTTTGGTTGAGAATCTTGCCAGGCTGGAGACGGCAAAGCTGATGTCTGGTCTGGTATAACCAGCTATGTAGTTCATGAGTCCGATTGCTGAGCGATAATTGACATTTTCTTTCTTGAAGAGAGCATGATCTTCGTCTGAAGCTTCTTTAAGTTTGAGATTAGGAGTCAGCGGAGTTGTTGAAGGTTTGCAGTTTGAGAGGCCGAGTTCTTCCAAGCCGTGTTCGATGTGTTTTGGTTGAGAGAGGAGAATCTTGTTGTCTAGTCTTTTGAATTTCATTCCAAGGATGGTATTAGGATCGTGGCACGAGGAATTGGAGAATTGTTGTTCGAATTTTTCCTTGAATCCGTTGCCGGAGCCTACTAGTATCAAGTCATCGACATGGAAGAAGATTCTAGATATTTTATCATCACATAGGTACATGCATGGATCACAATTTGATTCTTGGAATCCGATGGATTCGAGCCATGCAGTGAGGGTTTCGTACCAATTCTTTGGTGCTTGTTTGAGGCCATAGAGCGCTTTCTTCAGTTTCAGATACAGTGCGTTTCGATTCACTCCCTTTGGCGTCTTGATGTAAACTTCCTCGGATAGTGGAGCATGTAGAAAAGCTCCCTGAACATCGAATTGGGTAACTGATAGATTTTGGTGAAGTGAATACAGAAGAATCATCCGGAGCGTGGACACTTTTCCAGTTGGGGCGAAAGTACCTTCGTAGTCTTCACCTTCTATTTGTTCAAAACCTTGGACACATAGTCTAGCTTTGTGTTTTAAGGGATCGCCATGGCAGTTGTCCTTAATCTTGAATACCCAAGTCGTGTCGAGTGGATTGGGGGGTTCTGTATAATGATTGTCCCAGACTTCATGGTTCTCGATCGTAGAGACTTCTTTTTCGATTGCTGATCTCCAGAATTTTTCGTCTGCGCATCTGATAGCTGACTCAAAGGTATTTGGTTTGTAGTAATGATGGAATCCAAATCTTTCTGGAGGTTTGAGGCTTGATCTGTATCTGAGAGTCCTGCCGATAATTTTGGATTGTTGGGGCGGTTCTTGAGGTTTGAGCAAGTCTAGAATTTGTTCTTCTGAGTCTGTCGATTCATTGGATATTCCATCAGCGTTTTGTTGTGTGTCATCTTCTAACCCTTCCTGATTGATAGACTCAGAATCGTTGTCGGAGCGCTGATCATTGTTCAAAGTTGGCCCTTCGAGAGTTGGTGACTTTGAGATATCTTGTATGTTTTGACAGAAGTCGTCTGAGTCGTCGGATCCAAATTCGATCTGGTTTGATTTGAGGAATCGCACATGTTTAGATTCTATGATGGCTCCGGATTGGATTAAGATACGGTAAGATTGAAGAGGAACGTTGAAACCCACAAGGATTCCCTCCTGTCCCTTCTCCTCGAATTTTTTTCCTTTTACTCTACGTAGGTTGAGAATAACCGAGTTTGTTCCAAGTGGTTTGAGGAAGAATTCTGGAAAGGGACGACCGTGTACAATT